AAATAAATAAAATAAAATAAATAAAAGAAATATATCATATAAAAGAAATATATGCTATAGATGACATAGATGACATAGATAATATATATGATTTCTTAGAGATCGATGTCATCCTTTAAATCGTCATCATTCATATCTTTTTTCATGTAATATTATCATAAATATTAAATTAAATATAACTATAAATATGTAAAATATATATATCTTTTTTTATTATAATTAGTTTAATAATAAATAGGTTTGCAAATTTATTGAATTTATATAGTAAAAATAAGTTTAAAATAAAATTTAAATTTGTATATTCAGTTTTAACTTATAATTATGATTAGCATAATGATTTAAAATAAAGCAAAAATATACTTATTATCAAAAAATTTAAGATATTTAATTTTAAAAAATTTAAAAGTTTTTTTAAATATTATTAAATTCTAATATTAAATATAATATCTTTGCTTATTAATAAATTAATATTATACAATAATTAATATATAAAATTTAATCAAATTAATATAGCATATTTAATATATTATATTTTTAATATCATTTTTAACTAAATTAAATAATAATTTGTTATTTTTAAAAAATTTATATAAATATAAAATTTAAAATAAAATTTATTTAATAAAAAAAAATTATAAAAAGAAATATAATTTATTTATAATTATATATATAATATTTTTAAAACTTAAAAATAAATTTTAAAAAATTTTAATTACTGAATCAATTTTCATTTAAATTTATTAAAAAATTAATTAATATCTATTTATACTAATAGTTTTTGATAAACTTAACTAAAAATTTGTAACCATGTCTTTAGCAAAAATCTTTCTTACATTCAAATTCATCTTATAAGTATTTGATTAGATTAAATCAAAATTTTATTCTAATCTTATAAAAGAATTATTGTATTTTTTTTAATTAAAGTTTGTATTTATTAATTTACTTATATAGATAGATATATTATCTGATTAAAAAATATTTCCCATTTTTTTTTTTCTTTAAATTCTTCTAAAAATAATATCCATTAATCTTATTTATATATTTTTACTATTAACATAACCTAACCATCTATTTTTATTAAGAGATTTAATATAAACTATGAAAATATTCCTACATTATATTTTTATTTCCAATATATCTAATCATTAGAACATTTTCTTTAAAAGATGTCAATATGAGTTTTTTTCAATTCTGAAACAAAGTAAATCTTAACTCATTACTTCAAATGAATTTTTTTCAATCATTGATTGTTTACAATACCTTTTTGTAATCATTTTAATTAAAAACATCTGTTGTTTCACTTATAAAAGGACAATTTAGCTAATATTTTATACTATAAACTTTATTTTGTATAATTTTTATACATACTTTATTCCCAGTTGAATTTATAAAATTTTTCATATTTTTTTTGTGCAGGTTCACATTTCCTTTACTGACAATAAGTTATAGATGTAATTTATCACATTCATCTAATTTTTTGGCCATCCATATTTGAGAAGCAATGGTAAAAGTACCTGTTTTATGATACTTTGATATTGTATCATAAACAGTCATTTTTAAATGGTTTGTTCTTTGAATATAATTATTTCAGAGTCTTCTGCTTGGTAAAAATCAATAATTATTCCACGCTCAAATTCCGTAAGCTTGCTTTTTTTAGCCAATTGCAAAAGTATGAAAAAGAAAATGTTTACATGACGATCAATTGAATCATTTGATAATAATAAACATTACGCAATTTTCACATGATTACAAATCACAGGGGTGGTCTTAGTAGGGAGTTTAAGATTTTAAAATTAATTTTAATTGAAATTTTATTATGCCACTTATTTTATTAAAGCAAGTTTTGGAATTCAAATTAAAGATGAGTTAGCTTTCTTACAATCACTTTGTCTTTTAAAGAAATTGATCAATATTGTATATATGACTATTTACAATTAAGACTAAAATGATTGAAATTTTTTAAAAAATGTAAATCTATTACTAAATAAACAACTATCATTATGACACCCGATGCATCGTGCTAGTCTAAATTTAAGCTCAGCTCAATACTAAAAGTAGAATTCAGGAATTCCTTCGTTCGTTTAAATCCAATGCAAAATCCCTCTCCCAAATTGTTTTTTTTAAAAAAATTTTTTAAAAAAAAAAAAGAAATGGCTTTTGATCATCTCGATTCAGTTGGTACGTAGAAGAAACAAGATGAATAATTTAATATAATTTGAGACATTTATTTAGTAGAACGATCATCTTGCAATTAGAACCCGAAACGTTTGGATATGTTGCGACGTTCCTTCTCGTTTTGGGAGGATTTATAGCAACCTTGGGCGTGTACGTTGTTGGAGTTAGCAAGAACAAGAACGTAAGAAAAAACCAAAATCTTTACGTATCGTATAAATCAAAGCATCTAAAAATATCTTTTTTTCTTCTTCTAGAACAATAATTTTGTAATGTTTAACACTTTATTGATATCGTATGATTGGAGTTTCGATATTATTTTTACAATATGGTGTTTTGCATCTCGTCTGAAATCTCATCTTCCCATAGTCAGGTAATATATAAGATCAAACATATGAATAAAAATAAAATAATCTAATATATATATTTTTTTTTGCTCTTTTCTCATAGCTTATCACTTTTGTTTTTTGTGATTTTCGTCAATTTTTTGCTCACCTTCACTATATTACGTCGAGAAATTAATAATAATGAGCAATTTCGTGTATGGTTTCAAGAACATAAAGCTTTTGGTATATTGATTGCATTTTTTTCATTAGGTAATACGACCGTATTACACGTGCTAAATTGTAGATTTAATAATATGGACAAATTTAATGCGGTTTTATCTTCAACTGCTGAAAAGAGGATTATTCATGCTAGCGTAATAGGCTTAATTCTTGGAGATCTTCCTCAATTCTTTCTTTTGGTAAATATTCAATTCCCTTTCAAAAGAATCTACTTTTTTCTTTTCATTAAAATTTTTTTTTTCGTTTCGATTATTATAGGTGTCGGTCAACACCAATTTAATTAATTTTCATGTCATTCCTATTACTGCTATGTCTCTCAATATATTAGTAAACTTCTTTGGATTCTTTTATAGAATATATGAAGCTACAATTAGAGAATATGAAACGCCGACGGTTGTTAACAAAAAACAATTAGAAGCATGATTTGATTACGAGTAAATTAAATAAATAAAATTTAGTAACTATATTGGGCATATAAAAATATTTATTACAGTAAACAAAATTTCTAAATTTTCATTTTAATTTAGTCATAATCTTTTTTAGTTAAAAGATATTAAATATTGTATATTATAAATTATTATTTATAGGGATGTTTAGCGGTCCTAAAAGTCCCAAGAAAATTACAAAGAATTATATTTACAAATTTATTATGAAACTTGTCTATTATAATGTTTTAATGAGCTACTAAATGAAAATATATAATAACCCTCTTGGAATCCCAGAATTTCTTAAAATTTAAAATTTAAGGATTAGGACCGGGTCTCAAGAACCGGTCCTATACTTAGCGGTCCAATCAAAATTGCCAATTTTTGAATATCATTTTCGTTTTTATGACATTTTTTTGATGGGGGTTACTTATTATAGATAAGTGATTAAACTTCTCTAGAGTAATTATGATTTATTGGTATTAGTAATATATGTAATTTACAGATTTATAAAGAAAAGAAATATTATATTTAATATTTACTGTGTATAGAAAATATTTTATAAAAAAATTTAAGCTTTTTGAATTTAAATTGGTTTTGATTAAACTTAATCTAATTTAACTTGATATAATTAGATTTTAAATATTATATAAAAAGTTATAAATAATAATAATATAAAATATATTTATTTAAAAATTAAAAATATTTATTATTTAATTTAAAGTTATTATTTTTTTTGCAATATTATACAAGTATATATTGTTATATTAAATATAATTCTACTTAAAAACACTATATTTTTATATAAATTGTTTTTGATATTTGCAATTAATCCTTTAAGGATTATTGATAGGTTATTATGATATCAGATTGTTAGGATATCAGATTGGTAAGATGACAAAATGATATGATATCAGGCTATATTAGAGTTCCAGATGAGTCGAGTTAACTCACGAGTCAGATAAGTCGAGTTGAGTTCAAATCAAGTCAAGTTTATGTTTTTTTGACTCGATAATTTGTGAGTCAAGCCAAATTCAAGTCGAGTTAAATATTTAACTCGACTTAATTTAAACTCAACTTGATTCAAGTTGACTCAAGTTGACTTGAACGATAAAAAAATCATTCTAAGAAGAACGATAAGAAATCGTTTGACTTAAACGATAAAAATATCGTTCTAAAAAGAACGATTAGAAATTGTTCGACTTGAACAATAAAAAAATCATTCAAGAAGAATGATAAGGAATCATTTGACTTGAACGATAAAAAAATCGTTCAAGAAGAATGATAAAGAATCATTCAACTTGACTGATAAAAAAATCGTTTATGAAGAACAATAAGGAATTGTTTGATTTGAACGATAAGAAATTGTTCGACTTGAATGATAAAAAAATCATTCAAGAAGAATGATAAAGAATCGTTCGACTTGAACAATAAAAAAATTGTTTAAGAAAAATGATGACCCGAATCATTCTTTTCATTTTTTTTTATTATTTTTTTTTTCAAAATCAAATCAAGTTAAAATTGAGTCAAGTCAAATTGAATTGGGTTTAAAATTTATATAACTCAAATTAAATCAAATTGAAAGATTTTATAAAATAAATTTGACTTAACTTGACTCATTCGAAACACTAGGCTATATTAATAATATTTATTTGTAAATATATAAATAAAAAAACTGAATACAATAATATTATATTGCTTTATAAGTATAAGTTAAATCAGTTTTTTCAGAATATAATATTTAAAATATATCTTTAAAATTACTCTTATAATCTGATATATATAAGAGCTTTTCTTAGTTTTATTTTTTATTTTGATATTTTATGTTTAAAGTAAATATTAAAATTAAAAATAGCATCTTAATTAGTTATAATAAGTTATAAATAAACATTATAATATTATAATTAATTGTAACATTATTAAAAATCAAGTTACAACAAATAATAAAAAAGGTAATACAATATTTCAATAATATTTTTAATTATATATAAAGTAGTTGTAATTATCTAATTAAATAATTTGTATAAATTTTGAAAAATGATCAATATATATAATAATAAATAACTTTAATAAAAAATGATAAATAAACTTTCTTTTTTTTAAAGTTTACAAAAATATTTAACGTTAATAGTAATGATAAAAGTATAATACAAAGGCTTATAAATATATTTATTAATACAAATAAAAGTAATAAAAAGCTATTTTAGATAAAAATAAGTAAATATATTGATTTAAATAAGTTATTTTAACAGACTTAAAATGATTTATAAATATTTTCTTATAATATTAGAGTTAGTTTCAGATTCTTTAAATGTTCAGAATTAAAAAGTATAAACATTTATTTATTTGCTAAATTAAACTATAATTTTTTAATAATTAAGATTTATTTTTTAAAAAATTTAATGGTTTATAATATACTATAGAATATAAGTTATTTAATTTTTATATTAATATATTTTTAAAATATAAACTAAATTTTTATTTAAATTTCTAATAATTAATTATACTAGAAATTAAATTATTATAATTCTTATATAATTTAAAATCAATTAACTTTTAATTTAAAAAGAATTCAATAATTAAGATGTAATAGATGAATAAGATATTTTTATTGATTATTAGTATTTTAATTATATTTTATACTGTAATTTAAATTCAATTAATTTTATATTTAAAAGCTAAAGGAAGCAAGTTATTTTATATTAATTATCAATATTTAATTATACATTTTATTATAATTTAAATTTAAGAAAATTTTTTATTTAAAAAATATTTAAATTTAAATAATAAGTTATTTTATTGATTTTAATATTTAATTATACTTTATATAGTAATTTAAATTTAATTTAAATTTTTTATTTAATAAATATTCAAATTTAGATTATAAGTTATTTTTATTAATAGTATTTAATTATACATTTTACTATTATTTATACTCAACTAAATTTTTATTTAAAATTTAATTAATATTAATATATATTTATAAAATTTATAAATTTATAAATTTAGATAGAATTATATTTTTATTTTAATAGATATTTAAATATTAGTTATAATATGATATAAAATTATTTTTAAAAAACATAATTAAATTATAATAAAATATACTGAATTTAAATAATATAAATAATGTAATTTTTAAAGAATTTTTCTAATATAACTAGTAAAAATAAATTTATTAATAAATTTATTTATAAATACTTAAAATAAAATATAATTATTAATATTAATTTATTAAATATATATAAATATATATTAAAAAAAATCAAGTTAACTATAATTAATTTTAAAACTATTTAGATTATAATTTATTTATGTAATAATAATAATTAGATTAGAATTAGTAAAAATATTAATGTAATTCTTAAATTTTTAATAAATTATTAAATTTAAATAAAGAATTAATATATGAAATATGATATTATTAATTTTAATTTTAAAGAATTATTTTAAATTAATTTTTTTTTACTTTAGTAAAAATATATTATCATTTATATTAAAAATATATTCAAAAGAAAAATTTATTTAAATACAATTAATCTTCTACATATTTATATTTTTTATAACTAAAAAAAATTAGTATAATTATAAAAAAATTATATAATATGATTATAAAAAAGAATTTTAATAATTTTATTATTAACTTTAACCTAACAAAATATGCTTATAATAGAGAAGTATTATATAAAAAAATAATTATATAAAAGATCAATTCTATTTAAAATCTAAATTATTAAATTATATTATAAATATAAAATATACACAAAATAGTAATTTAAAATCTATTATCAAATATAATTGAAAATAAATAGATTATAAAATTATTAAAATTAATTAATATTATTAATAATTTAATAAAATCTACAAAAAAATCTTATTTATTATGATATTTATCACAGTAATATTTTAAATATTAAAAAAAATATTTTATCTATTAGTAATTTAGGATACCTGTAAATTATTTTCAAATATCTAAAAAAAAAAATAATATATATGATATTTTATTATTTTTAATATTTGAATTTTAAGAAATCAATTTTATATATTAGATAAAACAATGATATTTATTATATAATATTTATTTACTACAAGCTAATATTCATACTTTTATCTTATAATAATTTTACATTATACTATATATACTAATTTTATATTTACTATATATAATAATACCTTTTTATCTTTAAAATATTATATAATAAATATTAATATTATTAGTAATTATAGATGCCTGCCGAAACCTCCTCAAAATAATTTCGTCATACCCTTTTCTATGTTTTTAATATAGTTTCGACAGTTTCGGCTTTCGTCGTATCGAATGGGTTTCGTCGTATCTCTTATTATGATTTTTAATATAGTTTCGTCTAAGTTTCGACTGTTATTAAGGGGTTTCGTCCCTCATCTATATTAGTAATATTGATATATATAATTTTTTATGATTATATAAGAATTATTATTAAGTATTTAATAATAAAATTTATAATTTCAAAAAGTATATAAAGTATTAAAATAAATTAAGATAATAATATATTAAATATTATTATTATTATTAATTCTTATTTACAAATATATTATATAAGTTATTTATTAAATTTTACTAAAAAATTAAAAAAAGTCTAAATAAAGATACTGTAAAAATTAAATAAATAAAAATAGTAGTAATTATTATAATATTTATAAATATAAAAATTATTAATTAATATGTATTTTAATTTAAGAACTTTTAAATATTATTAAGATAAAATAAATATGTAATTTAAATTATTTTTAATATATATTGTATATTTATAAAATATTATTTTAGTAAAATTAACTTAAAATATTTTATTTTGATATATTGTAATTATTATAATAAAAATTGTATTTAAATAAATATTTTTATAAAAATTAAATTAAAATAAATATCTTTTAAAAATATATAAATTAATTTAATAAATTATAAACTTATACAGTTTCTAGCGAAAAAAATGGTAATGCAATCTTTTATTATATAATTAG